ACTTAGTATAAAAAGTTGTTTGACAGATATTTTGATAAGATTATTGTCGTAAACAAACAAGATTGTGTCCGCTAAGTAAAAAACATTTTCGTTTCTTACAGATGGTTCTATGCCAGGCATCATCATCGGCTGAAGTTCCTTTGTCTGCTTGTCTGAATCATAGCCCACCCTTTGGTAACTGGTTCAGCAGGAATCTGTTCAATAAATGATTTATTCCTTGAGCCCATGAGATACAATGTGTATTGTGTGATGATTTAACATGTACGGAAACCGTAACAAAGAAGTGATATGATTGTAGCATCAGTGTGTCCAGAAGTGACATTGTTGTACCTTCATGTCGCATAATGGTAATGGGGTGATTGTAAAAGTAAGTTGAGAGAAAGGTTATTACCTCAAAACCCCTCAGAAAATAATATTTCTACAATCAATCCTTTCATAAAAAGTATGGAAGACATTATGGAAAACATTGAAAGACAAAGAAAAGTCATCTACCAATTTTTGTAATGCTTTCAAATGGTTGCATGACTAAGTCTTAAAAAAATGACAGAGAAAATAATCTAGAAATTGTAACTCACCATTATAAATAGCATCGCAAAGTATAATGGTAAATGGAACAGTCCAGATTACGTCATGTTAAGGTTATAGTCCAATCGATCAAAATGGCGGACACGTAGGCGGAAACTTTCCCCCACCGTCACAGACCCGACTTAAGACCTTTAAAATTTGCGACGCGAAACTTTCGTGAGAAGGGTACAAGTTAAGCAAGATGTCCAGGGCCAAGCGGGAACTTGAAAGGGTAAACTCCTTTATTTGCCTTTTGTTGTGTTGTGGAATTCCAATACGGTTGTTTATCTTGTATTGATGTTTAGCTGTAGCCAACTAACATAAAGAAACTTTAGTTGATTGGTGAGAATTGTAGTATAACGGGTATCATGGAGGAAATATGATAATTTTATTGACATTTTTAATTGATGTCGTACCGAAATATAAACTTTTCAGGCAAACATCAGTGTTATGACTACGTTTTGGGTGTACGTGGCATAGTGAGTGGCCCAGCATAGACGTCTGTGGACTTTGAACGTCGGTCGCCGAGGCTAGGCTTGATTCAATGTTTACCTGGTAACCATATCACACCTGTTAATTTGCAATATATCTAACTTTATGTCCTACCTGGGCCGCGATTACGTTCGATACGGGTGTTCCGGCCCGTGTGATAACTAGCGGTACAGCCCGGGGGTTCTGAACGCGTACGGCCCGGGGCTTCCAAATGTTTCATAGACAGATTCGAACGCGTTTCGCGCTTGCACCGCTTCCGAAAATTCGAATGCAAAATTCGGACGTTGGAATTGATGTTGTTGCGTTTTTTTTGGTTAGGGACACCAAATTTTTGCTCATTTCGCATTGAAAGGCGCGTTTTCGTGGGTGGGTATGACATAAATAAAATACAACACGGTGTATTCCGCATCACCCTCGGTCCCGGCCCTCCCGCGGATCGGATCACCCTCCGGCCTTCGGCCGTCGGGCGATCCGACGCGCGGTCGGGCTGGTACCTCGGGCGATACGGAATACACCGTGTTGTATTCTATATGTACTCTGTTCAAATAACATATATTGACGAAGACGCCTGGATACCTTTAGTGCTGTTTAACCCTAAACAGTACACATGGGGTCCGCGCGGACCCCAGCACTATATGTTCTGTAATATTTTTTACATTTCAGCGCATGCGCGCTGAAATGTCCTGATACGGAATATATCCTTTGTTTCTTTCTTGCTTTCTTTGGTAGTTTGGTAACTCTGCAGGCCATGCAATACCTGTTTACTTCTTTCCGTTTTGTGGTATATGCAATAGACTTTCTGCCATTTTAATCCATGTTCTTTACAAAAAGAAAATTTATGTAGTAACAGTCTCATCTAGTGACATACCATTGATCGAAGTATGGTTACATAAGTTTTTAGGCGCTAATTTATTCATCGTACTACAAATCTAAAGATGATTGCATAAATTATGTTAATGACAAAAACAATGCCGCCTGTCGCTAGATGTCGTTGTTGCATGTCCTGGCGAAGTTTCTCTATTATGTTTGCACTTTTATGTTTGCCTGTTGCATTGTTCTTACTCAGGAATGTCAATACGTTTGATACTTACTTTTTTTAAATTTTAAAGATGGGCTTTCATGCTTCAATCATAATTCGCTGGGACCTGCCCAATTTTCTCGGATCGCTATGTATAGTTTGTTGCTTAGGCAGCCAGACAATGACGTAATAAGATAGCTCGACGGGTAGCGATGCTAGCTGAGTGGCGGTGCACGTGGCGGGGTTTGGACATTGAGAGTCCAATCCCCGGAGAGGAACGTTTTTTTTTTATTTTCATTTCTTTTAATTTTCTTTAATTTCCTTTTTTTTAATTTTTTAAATTTTATTTTAATTTTCTTTTTTAAGTTTTTTTATGTTCTTTTCTTAAATCTCTTTTTTCGCGGTGCACGTGGCGGGGTTTGCACATAGCGAGTTCGATCCCCGGAGAGGAGCTTTTATTTAAATTTCTTTTTAGCAGTCGCTGTTTTGCTTAAAACACTCAAAAACTGATTGTTCAAGTCCCGACGTATGAGTTTTTTAAATTTTCTTTTTAACATCCGCTTTTTTTGCTTTTTTTTTATCAGATGTGTTTTCTTCTTTAAGTGGTCTCGTACCAATTTCATCAACTTGGGTAATATCATTTCAACAACTTCTACCTCAATAACGGCAGTAAAACCTTCGTCAGCTGAAATGTCAGCTTTTTTTAAAAGCACTTGTTTTGTTTCTTAAGATTTTTTTCTGAAATTTCAGGTAATTTTCACCCACAAAGTTGTCTCTCAACACAGTGCAGAAAACTCAGTTTCCCCCATTTCTAAAAATTTATATATCTGATTTTCTTTTGGGGTCCGCGTGGACCCCAGCCAGCTTTCGATCGTAATGGATACACTGGCGTTTTTATACATTACTTTATTTCCGTTTTTATATGTTTTTTTGGACTTATCGTATGGCCACCAAATTTTCAGAGAATGGTGTACTAATAGAATTAAATTCTAAAAACTTTTGTGTAATTATGACGTCATATAACGTCAGAGCTAATAATATGGTCCGCTATCTTGGATTTTGACCAATGACGTCATTAAATTAGCATATATAATGAAAATTAAATGATTTAACTTATCTTTAATTATGTAAGATGTTATTAATGTCAGAAAGGAAATGTTATTTAATATAAAACCCAGAAAATTTTTATGTTAAAACCAAAATTACTGATTTTTCCCAAAAAACTGCCTGTCAGAAACCCGTTGCCATGGCAACACAAAAACTTATTTAACTAATATGGAATTTTTCCAGATACATTTTAGAGGTGTTCACCAAATTCACCTTAAGCCGTTCAGTCGCTATTTAAGATTAAAGTTGGCGCGGGCCTCAAAAGACCACTCGGTCTGAATAGGGTTCAAAAATCGGGTATTTCTTCATTTTGTCTTTTCCTCACCAAAAATAGGAAAAGGTCAAAATGTATGATTTTTGTACGTAATGTGGACTCAGAGTTTCACACATCAATTTGCAAAGCAATTGAGCTGGTAGTATGTTGATAATTTAAAAAAAAATTAGCAAACTAGAAAGGCCAATATTTGCTTTGGAGCAAATACAGCGATGGGTTCACCACATTTTACGACATGGCAGGGAAAGAATGAGAAACACAAGGGAAAACAATGATTTACATTGATATAACTATAATATGAAGTAACATACAACTAAAACAACAGTTGGATAGCTATTCCCTACTTTATTGGTTAGGATTTTTAATTGCATAATGCAAACTGTTGATTTTCAAAATAAAAAAAACGTTCATGCTGGAGCAGGAAAGCTTGAAATACCTACCAAAACACTTGAATACAGACATACTGTCAGTATGGAAATGCTCTGTGCAGGTGTTAATCAAGTTAAATCCCAACAGCCAATCAGCAAGAAATGCTCTGTGCAGGTGGAAATGCTCTGTGCAGGTGTTAATCAAGTTAAATCCCAACAGCCAATCAGCAAGAAGAATAGAGGAAAGCTGCATGCCTATTGGTTGATGCCCTGCATTCCATTGTGATGACTCATACCCAAACGTGGTAAACACGGCACACTAACACAGTAATACATTTGCTATAACACAGCCAAAAAACTCAAATAAAACCATTCTAAAAGCCTGTATCACAAAAATTTAAAAAACGCCTAGGGGTATTTGCCCACTGTACCTCCATACCAAATTTCAGGACCTTAGGCCCTAAAATGAAGAAGCTGAATCCAGTTAAAAAATGGCAGGAGAAGAAGAAGGAGGAGGAGAAGGAGAAGAAACACCAGAAAAAGCAATATGGTTTCACCACACCACGGTGTGGTGAACCCATAAAAACTGTTCTGGGGTCCGCGCGGACCCCAGGTGTACAGATTAATCAGTCCGGGAAGGTGTACTGTTGAGGGTTAATTGATACATGATAAAAGTTGTTGGGAGGCCACTTCCAAACGTTCACTGTATCGGTTGAACAATGTGGAATTCTGTTGTTTCCTCTCCTTTTATAGCTGGCGATATTATTTAAGATAATACCAGTGACACCATATTTAAAGTATAAAATGATATCCAATAAACTTGATACTCGTAGAAGGGGAGAATTGTAATATTCAATTTTTCTACCTCTGTATTGTTTTCATGCTGTATTAGGATGATGAATGCGGCTTTCTACAGGAACTCTTGATTGCAGCTGATAGAGGAGATGAAGAAAAGGTGACAGAGCTGATCCAAAAGGGAGTGGATGTCAACAGTCGTGCCGTCCTGGTGAGTAGGGATGAACAACTTTGTTGAATCACAGAGAAGTCACGGAGGTCGATTAATATAGCCATATAGTCGATGTCTGTCGTGGTCTTTCTTTTCTATCGTTAGACTTGATTTATTTCACTTATGTCGGGTCCTGGTGTCCCTGGCCTCGAGTCAAAATGGCAGCCCAAGAGTCCCTGTCTTCCATGGCCTGGTTCAAGGCAGAATGTTCGTTAGAAGTAATCCGGTTCACAGAGTCTGACGTTTCAGAACACCCTTCAGTCGTGTCAGCTGAAGTAACACACTATAGTCGGTCAACATGATACGCAGTTCTAATTTCTCCCAAGGTAAAAAAAATAACAGATACTGAAGGACAATTTGTATTTTCATACTCCCACACGACACACAGTTTCCTCGAGGTGAGGATATCGGTTACTGAACAAGGGAACATGAAACAGGCTATTAAACATTAAACGCCAAGCATATTTAGTGTTTGTCACTATATGGCTTTCTCATTATGGATGATACAGTATAGATAAGGTCAAGTAATATGATGTAAAGTGATAATGATTAAATTTGAAAAGTGTTCAAGGGGAAAACATAAATGAGCCTCTCTTAGAATGTATACGTAATGCCATCGCTGTTCCTGCTGTTACAGTTTGGAAACACGCCACTTTATTGTGCAGTGTCAGGAGGACATGTTGCTGTTGCTGCACTCCTCCTGAAGGCTGGAGCACAGGTGGACAGTAGGGGTCCGGTAAGTGTTGATGCTTACTACAGGTGACGAACATTTTTTGTGTTAAACGGGTCTCGTATATTTATTATGTTTATTATGACAGTAGGGGCCGACTTTTCTAAACATATAATGCCATCTCTGTTCCTGCTGTTACAGTCTGAAGACACGCCACTTCACAAGGCAGCTTCAGGAGGACATGTTGGTGTTGCCGAACTCTTGCTGAAGGCTGGAGCACAGGTGGACATTAGGGATGAGGTAAGGGTTGATACTTACTACAGGTGATGGACATGTTTGTTGGGCTCAATGGTATTATGAGCAAGCTTCAAGCAATATTCACATGTCCTTGTCTGCGATGAGAAAACAATATTTCTGAACAAAAATCGTACGAATGTATATTAATATGTTTTCTGTGTAGCGCGGCAAGACTCCTGAGGACATCGCGGCAAGTACAGATGTTCCATCCTGGTACGGTGATGAAGATCGCGTCCTGGAGGGAAGGAAGGAGATTCTCGAGCTTTTTGCAGCAGAAAAGCCCGGCCGGTAGGTCAAACCTGGTTTCTAGTTTTGCACAATCAATGTTAATGATGTGTTATCAGGAAAGCATAACGAGACAAGGATTAAAGCACTCATTTATTTAGAGTTTCTTACAAATACATGCCCAATGACTAATTCAAGTACAAACAACATATGTATGTTTGAGAGAATACAGTGATATAAAGGACTACGTCTAACGTTATGCTGCATTATCATATAGCCGGCTGACGTTGACCAATCAGAAGGCTCCATTCCACATTCCTTATGACGCCGTTATGCCGAAATTAGAGTCAAAACCGGGTATTTATTCATCCCAATCCATACATTAAACAACCCAAAAATCACGGGAATATGACCTCAGGTGACCCTATTAGAACACCGCTTTGTTCTAAAATATAAAAAAAATAACTTGTGTTATGTTCCAAAGGAATACATGTTCCCTGCTAATGACCCAAATAGAACATGACCCCGTGCCGATGTTCCGGTAAACTCATATGAGCCGGGTGGAACCAGCAAAACGATCACACTGTAAAGACATACAATGGACAAAGCAATGTCAGAATTTTCTTTGAAGAACTCAATATGCGGGTCCTTGGAATAGGGGAAAGATGCACAGGAACAGCGGCTAGTGGACGGGAAGATATGTTTATGTTTGTATGTATGTATTATACAGGAATGTGTAATGTGTAACGCTTTACTGTGTCAGTTTGGATAGGCTATATTATAATAGCGGTAATGGCCCGCCCTTTCTCGGTGACTCAGTCACTGCGCTCACTCAGTAGCTTTATTCGGTGGTTATAGCAAGTGCCACGTCTTTATCACACATTCACACCATATTCACCTCGGGGCGTGTCATTAACCCTTAATTCAATTGTAGAATAGAAATCTCTGACAAAACCGTGACAACTGAGTACGATAATCATTGTTCATTTTATTAGACTGAAAAGCAAGATATGGAGACTTGCGTAGAAATGAGTTTAAAGCAGGAATGATATGCTTATTGTTGGCAACCGTCTGTATAATGCTTTTAATTTGCTTTAAGTGTACAGTACGACTGACGCCTTTTTTGTGTTGTAGGGGCCACATTATCCATCATACGGAGTGAATATACTCATTCAGGCTGTATGAGCATCGGACAATGATAGTATGTATACACAAGTATGTATACATAATATGGTTTTCCATCTTTTGTCACAGCCTTTACAGGAGCAAAGTGGGTTCAAAAGGAGGTGACCTGAAAACCCAATTTTGTGCCGTCTCTGTTTCGGGTGGGGCCGTTACCATGGAAACAGAAATCACCTGTCAGGTCATCAACCCCAATGACGTCATCCTCCCCCTGAAGGACGGAGAGATGTTAGTGAGTGACATCATAGAGCTGGGTCCGCACGGAACAACCTTCCGCAAACCTGTCACTGTGCAGATGCAGTACAACAGCAAGTCGTCAGGTGGCGCTAAGGAAGCTGCCGTGTGGGTCACTGAGGACAGGTCACATTGGACGGAACTTAAGACAACTAAAGAAGTATGTGGACAAACATAATCATTTAAGAGTGCGAAACTTCATACGAATTCCTGTAATCAGAAATGTTATAATTTTCATAATTTTCCGATATGCGGACGGACATAAAACTCATTGCCATAGAAAGGACTACTTTATACCTGATCTGCAGTTCTCTACAACATATAACGTATTTTATTTTAGACCGAAGACATGCTTTCTGTATCAGTGGACCACTTCTCCATCTTTGCCGTCATCAGTCAACCTAAACAGGACCAGTTTCCAGTACCAACAGAAGGACGCACTCTGACGTCATCAACGCAGCCTGCGGTACAAATCAGCTTCCCGGAACATGCTGTGACCACAGAAACCGAGGTTACAATTCAGGTAAGTACTAGTAACTTGAAGAACTAGTACTAGTAAGTACTAGTAACTCGATGGCCACTGTCCTGATAGATATTACGCAACATTCTCACATTTTCTGTCACTAAATTCCTTTATTTAATTAAGTGTAGTAAGTAGTGCAATAAAGTAATATTTGTATATTTACCTAGTTCTTGAATCTAATATGAACTTAGTAGTTTATTTCAACTGCAGGTACAAGAGGTTCCAAAAAGCGCAGTTGAGGACATCAAGGCAAAGAACGAGTCTGTCCAGAACCTTGTTGGAACCAGTCCGATAGTCAATGTCCAGACTGTGTCAACCTCCGCAGTCCAGTTCCACAAACCGGTCACAGTGCGAGTCCCACATCCTCAGCACTACATGGACATCCAACATGAGGGGCCCACCAAACTGAGGGTGATGTCATGTGAGGAGGGGACAGAAGACTGGATGGATGTGACAGACAACGTTACTATCAGTCGGGTTACAGAGGAGTTTGTGGAGTTTGAAGTCACTCATTTTACCAGGTATCGTAAGCACATTGTCGCAAGAAACGCAAGTAACGAAGATGAGAGATCGTTTTTAAAGTAATTTTGTAATTTGCCAGAATGTTCATTTTTCACTTCAGTCGAGCTGCTATCTTCAAAATATTTTCTATTTATCTCATTTCCAGATGGATTGTCGTTCTTGTCGAAGATATCTTGGGAAACACAGAAAAACTTGGACCAATCCCAACAATAGTCTGCCAATGGCTTCAACGGCGTCCCGTCCAGTTCATCCTACTGCAGCGAGAGGACAACGCAAACGAAGTCATTGTAGAATGCACCCTGGATGGTTGTGCAGAAGAGAAACGGCCAAAGCTGATGAAAGAAGGCTATAAGGCCCAGTTACCTTCTGGCACAGAGCATCTATACGAAGGACAACAAGTGAACATACGCTTCCAAGGTAACGTAAAGCTCACCCGATACGGCGCGAGGGGGACGAAACAGCAAATCACCTTCCACAGCCAGCAATACAACCGCATTCATATGCATCTCATGGCTTTAAAGGATCGTGAGAATTCCGGTTTGGATGGTCAAGGATATGTTGAACTCCGTGCCCTACCACGCGTGGAGGTGGCAAAACAGAAAGTTGAAAGCGAAATGGCGACAATGGAAAGGTCAGCTCGTGAGGCAGAGGGAAAGAGAGAGCCGAAGTCAACATTCATTTGCCAGTTGCCAATTCGTGTGCCATATGGGAGTCCAGAACAGGTGAAGCATTGCCTTGCATCTGTTAGTAATAAACAAGAAGCCTGTCTCCTCCGGATCCCAGAGCAAAACCAATTTACAAAACAATACATGGAGTAACAATAAACGGTAACTTCTAGAAAATGTAGTGGCATAAAATATTTACGCTAACGCGGTAACTTTATTGCACAGACATTTAAAAAAAAGACTGGAGTATATCATGTCATTCACGTAGCAGTTAAGATATCATTAGCAAGACTTCGAGCCTTTAAACAGTGAATGATATTCTTCAATATGTTTCATCTGCAGACTTCTGGCGGTGCACACCGTGGAACTTTCAAAGGTAAGACAAATATTAATTTCACTTCGACAGATAATGTAGCTTTTTCCGATGCATGCGCTCTTCTTTCTTCCTAATGTGGTGGCATGCAAAGGGCCACCATGAAAAAGGTTTCCAAAATTAGACAGGAGCTGTATGAGCTTGAAAGAGGGCAGGTGCTTCCATACAAAAATACAAACTGCGTTATTCATATTATCTTCCAGGCGTTGAGATGTACTTTTATTCCACCAAGGAAGCCGTGAGCACAGACTGGCAAGATTTGGCCTTCCATCTTGGATTTGAGAGGGCCGACATCGCAAATATGGCCGGCAGAAACCGCGACGACAAGTCCCGCTGTATGGACATGCTGCAGGAATGGAAGAAGAAGAAGGGAGACGCCGCTACCATAGAGGTCCTGATGGAGGCTCTGTCAGAGGCAGGGCTGCAGAGCGTCGTGGATGAGTTGAAGAAATATCCACAACAAGTTGCAAACTATGGGTAAGTATGCATTGCTTTGTGCAGGTGATATTGTAAATGTTGAACCTAATATTTAACAAAAAAAGCCAGACACATAAGTGAACCACGTGTGCTTTTTTTTCGTCATTTTAATTTGTTATATGCGCCTAGTAAGTACCCTTGGATAATTTATTTTCTTGTCCCACCAGGCTGAGCCCACCGGCAAAGGGACTGGAAGAAACTTCCCCCCGAGAAGGTACTAGTAATAGTGAATTGCACCTGCGTTTTTATAGTGGTACAAACAAAACAAATAACATCATGAAGTAATTTAACCATCCATCCATTCATTCATTCATTTTCCAATTTTGTCCGTAACATATCAGAGTTGTGCGTATTAGCACAAAACGATAGAGATGTCAATAGAATGGAATAGAATACACTAAAATGGCCTTACCGTCTTCTTTTTTGTTGTTGTTATTGTTCACTTATCTGTTACAAGCACATTTTGAAACGATAACTACATTGTAACACGTAACTTCACAGGCCGGTGCCGTATCTCTTAAAATCTTCAAGTGCGAGATCTGACAAGACCATCTTCACTCATCAGCTGATGAAAACCACCATCAACCAATTCCATTATTACAATAATTATTACAATACTTTATTTCTAGCGTTAACACATGTATATGTTGGCAGTTTTTGCTTCTTAGTTTTATGATAGGCTTATTTTTTAGGCGCAAGCGGTTACTGTTGTTGCTCAGCTGCTTTCTTGTATAGCTATGCTC